AGTCGGAATGGTGGGAGCTTACCAAAGTGCGGATTGGCAGGTTTTTCAAGGCCCTAGGTAAGAGGAAACAACTTGAGAAATACATTGCCTATCAGCAGTTACGGAGAAAGCTTGACCGCCTTGTCTCAGAGGGTGGAGATTCTGGGGCAATCTCAGAGGTTAAGCTTCTCTTGAAGAAGTATCAGTATGATCGGCATGCCTCTTTGGTTCTGGAGAGGGACTACGGGAAGTACCATTCACCCGACCCTTACCAGAATTGTAAACGGAGCATAGCAATTAAGACGATCAGCGGCCTGAGGGATAGTACAGGATCCCTGACGAAATCCAGGTCAGGGATCTTGGAGGTTTCAAGGGCTTTTTTTGAGGATCTTTTGAAAGAGAAGCACCTTGACCGGGCAGGGATGTCAAGCTTCCTGGACTCTACACCAGGTTTGGAGAATAACACCCCCCCCACAAGTTTGACAAGTGAGATCACAGCTGAAGAGGTTGCCAAAGCGATAGACAGTCTGGCCATTAAAAAGACACCGGGGCCAGATGGGTTGACAGCGGAGTTTTTTAAGACTTTTAAATCTAGCTTGGCACCTCACCTAGCGGAGGTGTTTAACTGCTGTCTGGATGAAGGTTCGCTCCCTCCCTCCATGAGGAAGTCAGCTGTGATCTTGCTGTCAAAAGGTAAGGACCCTACGATGATTGAGAATTGGCGCCCCATTAGCCTGCTCAATGTCGATAGAAAGATCCTGGCCAAGATCCTTTTCTGGCGCTTGTCGTCAGTGGCAGACGGTCTACTTTCGCAGCAGCAGCACTGTTCGGTCCAGGGCAGGAGTACTTTTTCAGCGGTGTTAGCTGTCCGGGAGGCTCTGGAGCGGTGCAGGGCTGATGGCTGTGGGAAGTACTTGCTGGCATTGGATCAAGCTAAGGCTTTTGATCGGGTCGACCACAAGTACCTCTGGCATCTCCTTGACAGGTATGGCCTGGAGGGGAGGTTCATTGGATGGCTTCAGGCTTTGTACGGAGGGGCTGAGAGCTTCATGTTGATCAATGGTTGGATTGGGCGGCCCTTTGAGGTCGGCTCGGGGGTGCGCCAGGGGTGTCCGCTGAGCCCTCTGCTCTATGCCTTTGCCATCGACCCCTTCATTAGAAGGCTAGATGGCGGGGTGTTGGGCGGGGTGCCGGTGGGCACTACTGGTGAGCCACCTTTGAGGGTCGTGGCTTATGCCGATGATGTATCTGTATTCATCTCTGGGACCGGTGAGGCGCAGGAGGTGGTCTCGGTGATGGAGCAGTATGCAGAGGCATCAGGCTCCAAGATTAATCATGACAAGTGTGAAGTTTTCTGGATGGGCAGGGAAGGTGAAGGCTTCGAGCTTCCGGATGCCTTCCCTGAGCCCCGACAGAAGGTAAAAGTGCTAGGCATCGAATTTGGCCCTGACGACTACAGCAAAACAAATTGGGAGTCCAGGTTGGCAGATGCTGATGTTAAAGTGAGATGCTGGAAGGGGTGGCGGCTGTCCCTAAGGGAAAGGGTTGACCTAATCAAGACTTACTTGGTCCCTGTTTTCTTATACGTCAGTTTCGTTTGTCTCTTGCCAGAGTCTCTCTACACGAGGGTTTACAGCTGCTTCTTCCAGCTATTATGGGGGAACAGACTGAACCTTGTGAGGCGGGATGTGACTTATCGATCCAGGCGGGAGGGTGGCCTAGGTATGGTCAACCCAGTTGTTTTCTTCTCTCTGATGTTTATTAAACATAATCTTGGTAGCATGTTAAAAGAGAGACCGCCTGCATGGGTAGGCCTTTTCCAAGTCTGGTTTAAGCCTTTTCTGAACTGCTGGGATAGAGGCGGGCCAGTGAGAAGCTTGAGAGTCAGGCATGGTAAGCTCCCGGCTTATGTCGCTCCGTGCTTGAAGATACTGAGGCGGTGGTGTGTGACTGCGGAAGAGGTGAGATCACTCCCTGGGAGACTCCTGAGAGGGAGAGGGTCGTGGCCTCTGCGTTTCATGCACCATTGGCCTTGAAGGATTGCCCGGGCCATATTTTGCGGGAGGGGCTACGTTTGATAAATATGGAAAGGATTCCCTTGAAGTTTAGGGACCAGGCCTGGCTTGCGTTCCACGGCAGGCTCTATGTGAGGGGAAACCTGAAGTACCGTTCTCTGGATAACCGTGGTTGTCCGAGGACGGAGTGTGGGGGTGAGGTGGAATCTATGGACCACTTCTTGCTTCAGTGTCCCTTCAACATAGAGGTGTATAAAGAGGTGGGGAGGGCTCTAGACATCCCCTTCCTACACTGCATGTCTTATGCAGAGTGGGTATATGGGGCATTGGAAAGTCATACTGGTTTTGATTTGAACACTCTTTTTCTAGTTTGTCTAGTGACCCGTTACTACACATGGAATGCACGGTGTCAGGTTTCCATTCGGCAGAAAGTCCTTCCTGTTCAGGTGGTGGTGTGTGACATCCTTGGTGAGGGGAAAATTCGGGGTCTAGAGAAAGACAGGTTGCGGCAGAGGACCTGGATAGAGGCGTGGAGGAACATCAGGCCTGTAGCTGCAATCTGTTGATCTCTTGGTGAGGTTGCTTTCCTGTTTTTCCTCTTCATTCACTCCCCTAGATTTTGCTAAGAAGTCTTTTTGAAGAAAGGCTATGTGTACCTGAAGGTCTAGGTTCCTTAGCTTTGGTTGAGTAGACAAGTAGTGTTTTTTTTTAAAGCCATAAAGGCTGTTGTTGTTTAGAGGAAGTTGCTTCCCCTACAAGTGGAGGATGAATTTAATGCTTGATAAGTGGGCCATAAAGGTCTTGGTGATGTTTTTTTTTTTTACTTTTTTTTTTTTTGCTTCTTACCTGCCCAGTTAGTAAAGCCATACAGGCTGTTATTATTCAGTAGAAAGCATATATCTGATTTAGGGAGATGTGTCCTGTTCTTGTTTTTGTTTATGTTTCCAGTTTATTGAATACTGTATGTATTTATTTTTTTTTGTATTTTTGTATAAAATGAAAGCTGGTTGCAAGATTTTATTTCAATAAAATATTTCCAGCTATCCTACAGCTTGAACCCCGGTGTTAATCACTCTTCCACTGTCCACACCCCCCCACACCAGACACACCACAAAAGGTAGCCTGCCACCACCCAACAGTTTATCCGCAGAACGGTCTGCTGAGACACCCCACACACACAGATCTCCGTCTGGCAGATCTGTTACCTTTTACAATCTGCACGCAATCTGCCAACACGCAGTGCCAAGAAGACACACAAATGACTATTCACTATAAAATAAAAAGGGAATAAAAGACAGAAGTAAAACTTTACCAGGATTTACCCTGCGACTGGAGCAAGTCAGAAAAGTCAGCAATCCGTTGGTCGATCAACCAGCTCCATACGAATTACAATGTCCCAATGTCTGGGTACTCAATTTATGGGGATATGGACATAGGCGGGACATTAGTCTTTGGCCAATTGACCCTGGGGGCTGCTCCTGTACCAGCCCACAGGATGTTCTGGGTGCTGACCTGCCCAAGTTCAATCGAGCCAAGACCGGCTTGAAACACCAAGTCGAGGATTGGATTTCCCAAACCAGCGTATCAGTCCGATTGCGACAGTACCAAACACTGTTCGGCTGTCCCGATCCAGCGCCACTTAACCATTTCCTGCATTTTCCTGGCCTTCTACCTAAGTCACAAATATAATTTTCAGGTGTCGGTGTGACGCACAGAATGCCCTATAAGAAGGAAGCATTTCCATCTCTCTGAAACTAATATTTTAGCTTTTATGAGAGATTAAACATACCCCTTTGATGTATGTAGACACTTTTAGCTCCCCAGACAGATCGGAGACCCCCTGCTGTCATGAAGCCGAAATGTCTGGAAGCCATTTCCTTTAAACCGGTTTCACCAGAAGGTGACAAAACCTTATTAGAAAGTAGGTGTCACATCCAGAGGAAGCTGGCTAATTGATGAGCCTCGGTGTCTGAGTACCTCATTTCCCCAATGACAAGGACTGAATATTTCTTTAATGACAAGGACTGAAACTACATCTTATCTACTCAAATCTGTACATTTACGTCACATGTGAATGCAACTACGGTTACGATTACATATTGCTACTGATCACATCTTATCTACTCAAATCTGTACATTTATGTCACATGTACGTTTATAGCGACGCTTTAAACATTTTTACAGGCTACCAGTTTAGAGTTACAGAGGAGGTCTAGTGCTAGAATTATTGCTTTCGCTATAACATTCACAGCGATACCTCACATGTGTGGTGCAAACAATGTTTATATATGAGGGCGTAATCTACATATGCGTTCGCCTCTGAGCAAATTTTTTTTTTATTACTATTTTTTTATTTTCACACTGTCCATTTTTTAATTTTTTTTTATCACTTTTATTGTTAATCACAAGAAATGTGAGCATCCCTTGTGATGACTATAAAGAATGACAGGTCCTCTTTATGGGGAGAACTGGGGTGAATAAGACCCCACATCTCTCCTTTACAATGGAAAGCATCAGATAAAAAAAAACACATTGATCTAATTAATGCTTTCCGGAAAAAAAATGGCCTTGTTTACATCGTCTGTGAACCTGCCATCACTCCCAGACTCCTAGGTCATAGAGATGAGGCCATCTTTCCTCTGCTAATCTCTATGGCCAGCCACAGCAACTGCCAGATCGGTTTCCAGGCTTCCCGAGGAGCTGGCGGTGCCAGCTGTCAGAATACAATAGCCACAGACAGATGGAGGATACTGTTTGACTTTTTGCATTCAGCCTGCAGGCTGAACAAAAGAAGTCTATGTGTGAATGGCCAGCTTTACAATGTTCTTTGTCAGCTCAAGTGTACTTCAAAATTCCCTGTCCAAATTGCTGCTACACAGAAAATGAGACGCCTATACCAAATCGAAATCTGGTACTAACAATACCTATATTTAAAGACATATTTAGCATTTTTATTAAACGCATTATTGCATTATTTGGTTCATTTTTATATCTGCCTAAAATAAACCCATGACCTCTGCATTCACTATATCTGGTCTCCCACAGTACACAGAACATGGAAATGTAATTATTTTAGTAAATATAAACTGCTAAATACCTTTTTTTATCAGCAGTTAGAGCAGTCTTGTGACATCTATCAGTGTCCAGCTGAGCACTGGTTAAAGCTTGTAGGAGGAATTTTAATTCTCCCCTGATTGTCCTATGAGGCTGCATAATCCTGACCCTCTGTCTGGACAGAGCTGATTGGCCCTGTGCTGCTCACATGCATTCTCCCAAGAAAAACAAAACTCTCTAGCAATACACACCGAGCATGTGCAGCTTGCCCCCAAGGCTCTGTAATTTCAGCAGATTGATTGGGGACTGTGGAAGAAGGGGAGGATCAGAGAAGACAGAATCAAACATCCTTTTCACACAATGCAGAGGATTAGCCCCTTAAGTTCCACAGAGAGTATAACAAGCATGCTTTACTGTATATTTAGATTGATTTTACTGTTGTGGGTTTAGTGACTGTGCCTAACTTTCACAGCATGATTTGTTTTACACCCATAATTAGGGTGTAAGGTAGTGTCGTTCCCCAGTTCCACACCCCCACAATGCGTTCCACTTCTCTGAATTGCTGGGTTCTTCTTCCTGTAGACTTTTTGTTTAAATTTTGAATTCTGTATGGCTATCTATTCACAGAGATCCCATCTGTAATTGCAGCACTAGGAACCTGTAATTCTCAATGAAAAGTCCACTGATACTTCCTCCAGCTCCATAACTGAAGATTTCTACTTCGGTACAGACTTGCGGCTGAAGAAATAGTCTGCAGGATCCAGAACCCAGTGTTTTACAAGCTCAAATGCAAAACATTAATAAATTCACCTTTTCTTCTTTTCACTTTTGAGTGCATTTATTAACTAATTTGGGGGGAACAAGCCATTAAAATGGTTTTAAAGGCAGAAGATTATTTTCCTTACTGCATTCTATGCATTGAGGTAAAAAAAAAAACTTTCTCGGTGCAGCTCCCCTCTCAGCCCCCCCCCCCCTTATACTTACACTATATCACCAAAAGTATTGGGACGCCCCTCCAAATCATTGGATTCAGGTGTTTCAATCACCTCCATGGCCACAGGTGTATAAACCCAAACACCTAGGCATGCAGACTGCTTGTACAAATATTTGTGAAAGAATGGGTCGCTCTCAGGAGCTCAGTGACTTCAAGCGTGGTACTGTGATAGGTTGCCACCTGTGCAATAAGTCCATCCATGAAATCTCCTTGCTGCTAAATATTCCACAGTCAACTGTTAGTGGTATTATAACAAAGTGGAAGCAACTGTAAACAACAGCAACTCAGCCACCAAGTGGTAGGCCACGTAAAATGACAGAGCGGGGTCAGCGCATGCCGAAGTGCACAGTGAGCAGAAGTCACCAACTGTCTGCAGAGTCCATAGCTCCAAACTTCATGTGGCCTTCAGATTAGCACAACAGTGCATAGAGAACTTCATGGAATGGGTTCCATGACCGAGCAGCTGCATCCAAGCCTTACATCACCAAGTGCAATGCAAAGCGTCGGATGCAGTGGTGTAAAGCACGCCACCACTGGACTCTAGAACAGTGGAGACATGTTTTCTGGAGTGATGAGTCACGCTTCTCTGTCTGGCAATCTAATGGACGTGTCTGGGTTCGGTGGTTGCCTGGAGAACGGTACTTGCCTGACTGCATTGTGCAAAGTGTAAAGTTTGGTGGAGGGTGGATTATGGTGTGGGGTTGTTTTTCAGGGGTTGGGTTTGGCCCCTTCGTTCCAGTGAAGGGAACTCTTAAGGTGTCGGCATACCAAGACATTTTGGACAATTTCATGCTCCCAACTTTGTGGGAACCATTTGGGGATGGCCCCTTCTTGTCCCAACATGACTGTGCACCAGTGCATAAAGCACGGTCCATAAAGACATGGATGAGCGAGTTTGGGGTGGAGGAACTAGAATGACCTACACAGAGTCCTGACCTCAACCCGATAGAGCACCTTTGGGATAAATTAGAGTGGAGACTGCGAGCCAGGCCTTCTCGTCCGACATCAGTGGCTGACCTCACAAATGCCCTTCTAGAAGAATGGTCAAACATTTCCATAGACACACTCCTAAATCTTGTGAACAGCCTTCCCAGAAGAGTTGAAGCTGTTATAGCTGCAAAGGGTGAGCCAACTCAATACTGAACCCTGCAGACTAAGACTGGGATGCTATTAAAGTTCATGTGCGTGTAAAGGCAGGCGTCCCAATACTTTTGGCAATATAGTGTACCTGAGCCCCATCTCGATCCAGAGATGTGCATGAGAGCCGTGGTCTCCCCTGTCATTCTTTCCTCATTGGCTTAAACAGCAGTGGGAGCCATTGGCTCCCGCTGCTGTCAGTCAGAGCCACTGAGCCAATGAGGAGAGAGCATTCTGTTTGTGAATGCACAATTTCCATTCACAGGAGTGGGAGAAAGCCTGCTCGAGTGCCCCCATAGCATGAGGCTTGCTATTGAAGGCGCTCAACAGGGGGGGAGGAGCCAGGATCGTCAGTGGGTTACCCAAAAAAAAAGAGTATCGGGGTTGCTCTGTGCAAAACCATTGCACAGAGCAGGTAAATATAACATGCTTGTTATTAAAAAAATTACAACTTTTAGAATCGCTTTAAGCTAAATATCCTGCCACAGGCCCAAACTCCTAGTCTAGTATTGCCGACTTTATACTTTTTTTTTTTTTTTAAATTGATTAATCCTGTTTATACAGTCACTAAGCACTGAGGGCCCACATAAGGTCAAGGGAAGATGACACAAAAAATCCTTCAGCAAGTTGGAACACTGCTGGGGACAGTCAGAGCTGCAGAGAAACAAAATTAAGAAATGTCAGGAATTGTTTGAAGACAGATGGGAAAGGAGCCAGAGGACAAAGCAGAGTGAAAGGTAGGTGAAAATTGGTATAAAGGCAGCCAAGAGGAATTTAATTAGGTGATAAGGGAAAATCAGTAATACCCATATTTTGTCCTTCCATTTCTTGTTCCTTGAACTCTTGCCACGGAGTGCAGTCCAGAATATGAATGTCCTCCTTAACAAAGGCATTCACTGGGTAAATGTGTAACAGAAAATCAGTAGGCTGAATTCTCTTCTAGCCTTAAATCCCAGTTTGTGGGTGCTGGGCCACATAGTAGCGTCAGTTCCTTACTTGTCATGCCTTTGGCACTCTGGAAGCTCATGCATATTATAATTAATATCGAATCTCCTTAATCAAATTAATGCACAAAACATGACTACGTAATTGTCATTTTAATCACATGAATGCTCAAAATATGTCAAGGGAATTATGTAAATGATATTAAGATTTATTGTTAGTTAACACAAATGTCTTGTAAGATTTTCAAGTTAAAACTCAAAAGGAGGTTTATAGTAATATGGACCCTTTGATGGTTGTGCTTTTTGGGTGTGCAATGAAAAAAAAAACAGATGCAGTACTTTGCTAATATAGCCCCATTATGCTTTTGTTTGTGAAATTAGCATATCGAAACCTGGATTTGCATATTTTGCCTGAGGCTGTGTTTACCATGCCACCTTCCATATCACCAACCCTAGACACCTCCCTTCTGCTTAATATTCATGGCATCTCTGGTCCAGTTAAGTTTTAAAGGGGTTTTCCATAAATTAATACTTCAAAGGTGACCCTAGCCTCCCCTGTTTGAATGGACTGCAGTCTTCCATCACACAGTTCACCAGTGGTTGGCGCTGCAGTTGAAATCTGAAACAGAAGCTTCTGGTCTACTAAAAATCTGTCAGCTGAGATGTACTAGTTTATCTTAACATCTATTTCCACTTTTGCAGTCAAATTTGAGAAAATGTGACCTTTTATGGGTTGGTATGAGTTATGCATTCCCATTCACACAACATACCTTAAAAAATTTTATTTTTAATATTTTTCATACTGTTCTTGTTGTTTCTTTGGAGCAGGTTTATACATAAGACTGGAAGTTATTGGGAACAGTTTTTTAAAATTTAGTTACAGGGATAAACTGAAGGAAAGTGCATTAACATACAATATACCACCCAAGCCTTGAGATCTTTAACCCCTTGACAGTGTTAAATCTAGTTTTCAATTGATAATGAAATTTGCCAGCACAGTAGAGACAGGTATAGTTATGGTAAACAGTAACACCCCCAGCCCTTTCCTTAAAATTACATATAAGGTGAAGTAAGGCAGGAGTTTTAAAGTGGAAGTCCACTCAAAAATTTAAAAGGTGGTACCCCCATCCCCACCCCCCAGTCTGTAACTGAGTTACAGTCTTCTTTTTATCGATTTATCAGAACCCACTCCCAATTCTGCAATGCCACTTGCCTCACCCCCTCCCATGGATGACCCAGGAGGCTGCAGGAACATTCGCAGAGCACCATGTGAGCTTGTGCATGTGCAGTTGGGAGCTGGCTGTGGTTCCTCAGGAAGCCACCGCTGGCTTCCATTTCCATGATGGAAAGCAGACCATGATTCCAGTCTGCTTCAGAAAGACAACACTGGACTGTAGGCACTGTTAAGTACCTGATATTTAAAAGTCAGCAGCTACAGTATTTTCAGCTGCTGACTTAAAAAAAAAAAAAAAAAAAAAACAACTGAAATTCCTCTTTAAGAAAGTAAAACTGCCATTTTATTTTTTTTGTAAGTTATGCTATGTGATTGGGGACATATAACAAATGTGAAGTAGGTGTTATGCCAGTTTGGTTACAAAATGGAAATAAACTTTAAATTGGGGTTTGAGGGCAAATTTATTAAACTTTCCAAACAGTGGCCAATGCCTTTTTGGCCATAGTTCTCTTGTGGGTCAAAGGACTGCATTTACTTTTACGCTCCTGTGACCCAGAGTCAGCTAATAGCAGGCTATCACCCACTGTCAGCTGCCATGGCAGAGTCACTCCAGGCTTGGGAAGCATCCTGACAATATTGTGTGATCGGCAGCTGGCTCTACCTCTCAGCATGCTGCTGTAATCTCTGGATCCAGCCGCTCCCTTGCCCAGTGCTCCAGGGAGCGCATTAGAGGCATAGCAGAGAGCAGTGACTGGCAGTCACTGCTCTCCACTTCGAGCAGACCAAGAACTGAGCGATCAGCCTTAGAGTCAACATGAGACAGCTGCAGCATCAGACCAATGCTGCAGCATAGAGGTATGTGTGCTGCTTTTTTTTTTTATTTTGTCCATACTTCTCCTTTAACCAAAGTAAATTCCAGGCCTGACCAAGTTATCATGCAATAAGACTGAACTCTAGGCTGATATAAGAGACACAGATAACTTCACCTCTGTAATCTTTAAAGTGGACTAAAGTCCAATTTTTATCTTCTACCTGTAGGTAAGCCTATATAATAAGGTTTATATGTAGGTACACTGAATGCATCCTAAACTTGCATGGTTTAGGTGATATTCACACAGGATGCAGCTGGTGACATCACCGGAGCATGCACTCTGAATGGACTGCATACCCATGCCATACGTTCAGAGCTCTAAGCCGGAGCATGCGCATGCATGCCTGAGTGACGTCATTGTGGACTGGTCATTCATACAGCTGGAGCCAGCGAACACGGAAGGATGACCAGGTGAAGATGGAAGCACTGGAGGGCTCCATGTACAGGCAAGTCTGTCATTTTGTGCTAGTATGCGGCGCATGCTAGTACATTATGACTTAAAGTGTTACTAAATCCTGCATTCACTATATCTGGTCTCCCACAGTACACACAACATGGGAATGCAATTATTTTAGTAAATTTAAACTGCTAAATACCTTTTCTCATCAGCAGTCTTGTGACTTCTATCAGTGTCCAGCTGAGCACTGCTTAAAGCTTGTAGGAGGAGTTTTAATTCTCACCTGATTGTCCTATGACCTATGAGGCTGCATAACCCTGACCGTCTTTCTGGACAGTGCTGACTGGCCCTGTGCTGATCACATGCATTCTCCCAAGGAATAAAAAACTCACTAGCAATACACACCAAACCAAGCATGTGCAGCTTGCCCCCAAGGCTCTGTAATTTCAGCAGATGGATTTTGGACTGTGGAAGAAGGGGAGGATCAGAGAAGAGAGGATCAAACATCCTTTTCACATAATGCAGAGGATTAGCCCATTAGCCACAGAGAGTATAACAAGCATGCTTTACTGCATATTTAGATTGATTTTACTGTTGTGGGTTTAGTGGCTGTGCCTAGCTTTCACAGCATGATTTGTTTTACACTCCTAATTAGGGTGTAAGATGGTGTCGTTCCCCAGTTCCACACCCCCACACTGCCTCCCACGTATCTGAATTGCTGGGTTCTTCTTCCTATAGACATTTGTTTAAATTTTTTTTTTGTAGGGGAGTGTTCTTTATGCTCTAGGAGGATGCATAACCCCTGACCTGACAGTGCTGATTGGCCCTGTGCTTTCCCAAGAAATGACATGTACTTTCCCAAGGAAAAAAAAAAACACCTCTCTAGCACCAACCTGAACATGTGCAGAGTGTCTCCACACACGTCTTATCAGGAGATAAGAGGGAGACACTGGAAGAAGGGGAGGATCAGAGAAGTCAGGATCAAACAGCATTTTTAAACAATGCAGGGGACTAACCCCTTATGTTCCACAGTGAGTATAACAAGCATGCTTTACTGCATATACAGACTGATTTTACTGTTGTGGGTTTAGTAACACTTTAAATCTGCAGGGGGCATTATTTTTTTTCTTATATTTGTGGTGGTTTGCTGACACTTTAATACATCATTAGATGTATTTTTTTAAATGCAAGCAATGTCAGTAGCTGAATGTGACCTGGTATCACCCTCTTGCAGTCACTGTATAGCAGGACCGGAGCATGAGAGGTAGAAGCAGAACAAGCAGCCCGTCAGTTGATGTGCTGACAAGAAGCTCACTGATGTGAAGGGAAAGCAGAGTGACAGAGAGTCGAGCTTATCACTGTGCTGCTTTCCCTTTTCACTGTGCAGTCACAGGCTGGGGGGGACCAGAACGACCTGGTCTCAGAGGAAGTAGGTTGAATGAGGTTGGTGGTCACATTAAGGACATCTTGTGGCATACAAAGTGACTGCGGGGGAATTCGCTTGTCCAAACGTGAATATTGTAGCAAAAATAGGTTTTGTTATTTCATATTTTAATGAGCTTTTTATTTTTTCTTGTTATTTTTGGCTGGATTTCTGCTTTAGGTTTAATGCAAAATCCTACAGACAGCCAAATAACCATCAATGCACCTTATTTATCATAGTAGGAGATCCATGTTGCCCATAGAAACTAATACGACAATGAGGACATTATTTAGTAAGCCAGTTCAAACTGCGGTAACAAAAGCAACCAATCAGATGCCAGTAAAAACAAGACTTCTGATTTGTTGTTATGATTTCCTTGACTTGGTGATTGCACCCCATTAGCCTTTGTACCGTATTACTGAACAAGCTGTATGTACAATTTTTGGGTTGAAAAGTGAAAGTTTAAAATAGTCATTATGGGTAATAAGGACTTCTTTTCTTTTTTTTAGATTTTTTTCTAAAAAACTAAATAATGATGTTGTTTATGATTTCTCTCCTAAGTGGAGTTCTCCTTTAAAAGCTGTAACCAGTTTTGGGAAAGGTACCGTCTTTTATCCTTCAATTTGTATTTGCAGCAGAACAAATTTCACTTGTAGACAATGTCTGGAGACGTTCACAGGATAATTAAAAGCAAACTCTGGATTATTTGGACTGTACGATTTTTGTTCATCTGATATGCAGTTATTACCCAAAGGGTTACTGGAGTTTTGGAAGGTCACATAATAATAATATTGATTTTCTTCAAATGTCACACAGTAATGACTTGACAAAAATGTATGCACTGCCTATTAATTTAAGCACTGGTAATTATTAAGAATGCAAATGAGTACAAGCCTGGAAACAGGCCCAAGGGTAAACTATCAATATTTTCCTTTTATTTGCTGTATTTTTATTGCATTAATTAGTGAGAACAGAAGTTGGAATCTAAATATGCTGATGTAAAATCGCTATCTTCGTGTCATTAATAAGGTTGGCTTGGGTGACATTTTGTTCTGGGTATTACTAAGCCTTGAGCATAGACAATGGAGGAGTTGACGATAGCAGCCAATCAAATACCAGCCGGGAGTCATGGCTCTTCTTTTATTATTTAGCTGTTGTCCATAGCCATTGGGGCACAACTAGCACAATGTATGGGGACTGATCCAATTCCTGCATTAGGGCACCCAATGATAATTAGGGCACCCAATAGATAAGGGGTGTCAAACTGGCGGCCCCCCAGCTGTGCGAAACTACAAGTCCCATCATGCCTTTACCTTTGGGAGTCATGGCTCTTCTTTTATTATTTAGCTGTTGTCCATAGCCATTGGGGCACAACTAGCACAATGTATGGGGACTGATCCAATTTCTGCATTAGGGCACCCAATAGATAAGGGGTGTCAAACTGGCGGCCCCCCAGCTGTTGCGAAACTACAAGTCCCATAATGCCTTTACCTTTGGGATTCATGGCTCTTCTTTTATTATTTAGCTGTTGTCCATAGCCATTGGGGCACAACTAGCACAATATATGGGGACTGATCCAATTTCTGCATTAGGGCACCCAATAGATAAGGGGTGTCAAACTGGCGGCCCTCCAGCTGTTGCGAAACTACAAGTCCCATCATGCCTTTACCTTTGGGAGTCATGGCTCTTCTTTTATTATTTAGCTGTTGTCCATAGCCATTGGGGCACAACTAGCACAATGTATGGGGACTGATCCAATTTCTGCATTAGGGCACCCAATAGATAAGGGGTGTCAAACTGGCGGCCCCTCCAGCTGTTGCGAAACTACAAGTCCCATCATGCCTTTACCTTTGGGAGTCATGGCTCTTCTTTTATTATTTAGCTGTTGTCCATAGCCATTGGGGCACAACTAGCACAATGTATGGGGACTGATCCAATTTCTGCATTAGGGCACCCAATAGATAAGGGGTGTCAAACTGGCGGCCTTCCAGCTGTTGCAAAACTACAAGTCCCATCATGCCTTTACCTTTGGGAGTCATGGCTCTTCTTTTATTATTTAGCTGTTGCCCATAGCCATTGGGGCACAACTAGCACAATGTATGGGGACTGATCCAATTCCTGCATTAGGGCACCCAATAGATGGCATAAATTAACATCACTATGCATAAATGACTACATAAGGTGGGCAAATAATAGATAAAAATAATTATAACTATTTACTTTTGGTGTTCCTAGGGAAAAATTGTGTCATCGAAGGGTATATGTGGAGAGGGGAGATTTACTAAAAATGGTGCGCACAGAATCTGGTGCAGCTGTGGATAGGAACCAATCCGATTCTAAATTCAGTTTGGTCAATTAAACCTAGAAGCTGATTGGTTACTATGCAGATTCTGTGTGCTCCTGTTTTAGTAAATCTCCCCCTTGATGCTCTGGTGTTGAGTACTTTGCAAAAACATAGCAAAGGGTTTCCAAGTTGGTCTTCTGGCCGTCTTCAGTGTTTAACCGCTTCCCACTGCCCTACAGCGAAACTACTGCTGCAGGGCTGTGGAAAATCACGTATATGTACGTGATATTGCATTTCCGCCATTGGCGGCTACAGATTTTGATCACCGGGTCTTGGCTGGAGATTCCCACCCGGCACCTGGCGATCGCTGAGGAACACTCACAGGGGAGAGGTCTGTATGTAAACAATACAAATCTCTCCCCTGTCAGCACCAACATGCTGCTTTGTATTGCCCTGCATAGCAGAGCAATACAAAGCAGCATGCTTACATAGTAAAATAGCACACAGCACATAATGTGAAATACACACAGCACACAGTTAACCCTTTGATCATCCCAGATGTTAACCCCTTCCTGCCCAGTGACACTAATACAGTGATCAGTGCTAAAAAAAGCACTGATCACTGTATTAGTGTCACTGGGGATGTCAGTGGCAGTTATTCAGTTGCCCCCCCCGTGTCAGGATGCCCGCTGCAGTCCTGCTATAAGTCACTGTTTGCCGCCATTACTATTATATATATAAAAAAAAAAAAAATTCCAGTATATATACCGCCATTTGTAGACTTTCACGTAAACCAATTAATTTACACATATTGGGATTTTTTTTTTAGCAAAGACATGTAGCAGAATACATTTTGGCCTAAATTTATGACAAATTTTGATTTTTAAAATGTTTTTATTGGATATGTTTTATAGCAAAAAGTCAAAAATATTGGGTTTTTTAAAAATTGTCGGACTTTTTTTTCTATCGCAAAAAATAAAAAATGCACATTCAATCAAATACCACCAAAAGAAAGCTCAATTCGTGGGAAAAAAGGACGTAAATTTCATTTGGGTGCAGAGTTGCATGACTGCGCAATTGTCAGTCAAAGTAACATTACGCCGTAATGCAAAAAATGGCCTGATCAGGAAGGGGGGTAAATCCTCTGGAGGGCAAGTGATTAAAAATACAAGGCTTCCTCTGGATGGCTGAGAAACACTTAGCCTGACTCAATCTTGTTTCGGCAGAAGACAGGAAGTCACTTGTACTGGTGCAGGAACGGAATGCTGCATACGGCATGTATCAGATACTGCTAATATATGAAACAGCGATGACCCGAATGAAATACTTAAAGAGTAACTCCACTTTTGTTGAGAAAAAAAAGATTCCCCTCTGAGTGATCTGTGTACATTGTAAAGATATTAACAAACTTTGTTGCAGATTCCTACCATTTGTCATTCTAAAGAAACAGCTATTTGTCTGTCTGTGTCCATGTGTAAAATGAATGTGAATGGAAATGATCGTATAATTATCAATCAGTTGCTGCACTTTCAGGGTTCTAATGAGAAAAGTGGCAGGGTCTGCATCCTTTTAGACATGATTTGCCTTTAGGAGTATCTCACTAAAAATTACATTTTTGTTGCAGCGGATGTTCAAACTTGGACTTGTATCTTAGTGCAGGCTTCTGGGAAAATCAATGAACCAATCACAGAAGCAGGAAATTACATTTCT